TTAAGTAAATTTGAATAATCAAAATCTCAATATTGAAAGTCTCATTATATGAAATTAAATGTTAAATAGTATTCATTATTTTTAATTTCAAAAATTTTAAATTATGATTATAATCATTTTTTATTATAAAAAAATCTTTTTTAAGTTTTTAATCTGTTTATAATTCATAATATTAAATTTGAATACCTCTATTCCAGATGCAGTACGATCTTGTAGAGCAGCTAACATGTCAGACCTATTTAAAGCTTTAGCGAAAAGCTCTGGAGCTTTGTTATCGTCTTCATCTTCAACAGATTCCATTTCACTATTATCTCCAGCACGCTCTGGATCAGTTGTCATAGTACTATAATCTAAATTTATTTTATTTACTTGTAAAAAAAATTACATAATAAAAAAATAATTTTATTAAGAAAAATATAATAAATAAAAAAGTTATCAAATAAAATAAACTTATTAAAAATTTTTAAATTTCTTTTTTAATAATAAGAAATAAGTAATGTTGTATTTTTATATAATTTATTTTAAGATTTATTATTAGTAATACAAAAATATAATAAAAATATTTTTTATAATATATAATATATAATAAAATATATAAAATATATATAATATATAAAATATAATAAATTTTAAATTTATTATAATTTTTTAAAATATAACAAAATTTAATTTCATATGTAAAAAAATGAAATAATTTAAATATCTTTTATGAAAAAAAATATAACTATTTAAAAACTCTTTTTTTTTTAACTTAAAAATATATAAAATATGCAAGTATAATAAGTATAATTTATTTAATTTTAAATAAAATAATTTTTTTATTAAAATTTAAATCAACCGATTATAGTGTAAGAGATTTTATACATATACATATTATATTAAAGAATGAAATAAATATTTCAAATTATTTGTTACATTATAATTATATTATTAAATATCTAGTACTAAATAAATATTCCATTTCAATAAAATATATTTATATTTAAAATCACATTAAAAATTATGATATTCATATTAAGAACATATTTCAATCAATTACAGATTAACAATATTTTTTATTTAAACATAAAAATTATAAAAAAAAATATATACATATATTTAAAAAAAAAATATTTTAAAAAATGATTATATATATCTAAAATTATATAAAAATAATAAAATATAAAACAATATATTAAAGAATAAAATATAAAATAAATATCGAATATCAATTTCAGAATAAAGAATACAGCATAGATTAAAGTCATAAATGCACAAAAGTATTAAAATTCTGTTGCACGTTGCGGTATATTATCCATTAAACATGCACGAAAAATATCGTAAATCCTATCTACATATAGCTGAGAACGAATATACGTTTTTTTAAAATATTTACACGTAATGAATTTTCCCAATTTGATTTGATTTTGGTATAATGTTGAACTGACATTTGAAAGTCACCATATTCATAAAGAAAAAAGGTTATTTGATGAAACACGCAAAGACCGTAAAAAAAGCGGAAATCACATTAATTCATCAACTATTTGTTAGATTCAACTACGTCACATTTATTATACATTCTATTCTTTTGTTACATATTTAATAGAACAATATAGAACAGTACAGAAATCACGAAACTATCGTAAGGTTCAATTTTTGCATACAAAGAGCGTGCACATGGAATAAATGAAAAAAGCAATAATTTTCAGGGTTATAAATGCATGAAGGTTTAAAAAAATAAAATACAATTATTTTTAAGTAAAAACATTATTTCAAAATGTTTAAAGATTGAAATAAAAGCATTAAAATCAACGACAAACATACCTTTCAAGACTGAAGCTGTTCACAAAAGAAGAACGGACTACAGAACGGACAACGAACCGGTCGTTGTATCGTTACTTTCGTGTAGTAAGTCGCACAATACGAAATTAGTTCCTCTTCTATCCTTTTCTCTTCTTGTTAAGCGTTACAATCATATGATTCAAAAAATCCCTATTTTATTTTTTGAAATACGAAGTTAATCATTTTTTTTAACATAGTAAAGATTAAAGAAAAATTAATTTTCACGATTACTTAATAAAATATTTCATGAAATTTATTAATTGAATTTTTAGATAAAAAAAATTTTGCTAAAAAAAATTTTAATTTATAATATATTAAAATGATTTAAATAATTTCAAAATTATAATGAAATATGTTTGTAAATTAAAAAATTATAAATAATAAATCTTTTTCTTTTTTCTTATAATAATGATTTTAATCTTATAATTTTATAAATTTTGTCAAAATATCAAAAAAATTGTAAATGTAGCTTAATATTGTCGTTGAAAAAGATACGTTCTTTATATTTTTAAAAAAAAATTGTATACAATAAATAATTATATACAAAATTCAAGCTAATAACTAGAATTTTTTAAACTGTTTTGAATTAGAATAAAAATTTAAAATATATTGCATTTTTTCTTCTAATAAAAAATAAAAAATAACATCGTAAATTTTTTGAGTTTTAACTTCTATCTACGTTGGTAATACATATTTTATTCCTAGTTCCACTTCATTTCATCGTTTATCTCAAAAGAGAATAAGATGGCGTAGTGACGTCATTTCCGTTTGAGACGAAAACTTAACGTAATTCGCTAACACGTTTTCGCCTATAATACCATTCCTTTAGGCTTGGCGCCTTCGTCAAATGCAGTGAGCGTCGGTGTACGTAAAATGGCGGACGGTGACATTGATTTGTACGCCGACGATCTCGAGCAAGATTTCGCGCAGGTAATTCGTTTTTATCATTGTTAATAAGTACCAAGTCGGTGGGTAAATATTATTGTTAATTGATTATCTCTATAAAAAACATTCGAAACTGTGAGAAAAAAAGCGATAGTAAAGCGAGGTTCTTCGGCGTCATGGAGGAGAGATGGTAACGATTGTTCGAAAGCGGTGTCTGATTCTTGTTCAGACGGAACACGAGTTTTAACATACATTTCGTTCGTGATGAATAGCTGTTGTATTTAATTATCACAACCGATAAACATTTTCTATATTCTGTTATATAATTACCGTGATTTGCATACGTTCGGTTGCATCGAAAACTAAAAAGCAAATACATAATACAGATTCACAGCAAGAAAAGCAAAATGGTGTTAGCGGTAAGGCAAATGTCGTAGCATTTTATTCCTCCATTTCGTTTATCACTTCAGTTTAATAAAGGTTTTATTATTGCATGTAAAACACCATTTTCTTTTTAATTATTATTTTAAAGAATTTTATTATTATTATTATTGTTATTATTATTATTATTATGTTTCCTGATTTGTTTCATGACTTTTTTTGATCTATAATCATTCTAAAATAAAATCTTTTTCATTCTATATGCCTATTATATTATGTTAATAAATAAGTTATGTTAATCTTTCTAAAAAAAATATATATATTCCTAATAATTTCTTTACTTTTTTTATATTTTTACTATATTATTTTTTTAATTGCTTGTTTAAATAATTTATATTTTTTAAGATTATTAAAATTTATATTATATTTTGTAATAAATATATATAAATATATATATATTTCTATACTTTTAAAAAAATATTTTTTATGATAATTCTTTTATACATAGATATGCATTTATTGTAATATAAATAGAAATAAAAAAATTTTTTAAAAATATTATTTATTTTAAAAAATAATATTTAAAAATTATTTTTAAAAGTAAAATTTAAAAATTATTTTTTACTAAAAGATTTTAGAAGATAATTCATAAAGTAAAAATTTTTATTGAGATTAATTAAAATTATATATTATTTTAAATTTAAAATTTTTAATAAGATTGAAAATTTCTTGCTTAATTTAAAAAAGAAATTAGAATTTTTATTATTTTAATAAATAATATTAATAGTATTCTATTTAAATATACAATTACAATAATATTTTAAGTTTATTATTTAATAAAAATAAAAGTAAAAATCTATTTATTTTTAATAAAAATATATTTTATTAATATATCATAAATAAAATAAATTGATATGTTATAAATTTTCTAAAAAAAATTAAATAATTAGATAACATTAGTTTTTATTTGTATAAATATTGGAATTATATATTATTCTTTAATCTAGTTAATATAATGAATTTTTATAATACCCAATCTGCTTATAACATATATTTATTGATTTGTTTTAGGATGAGTTTGCTGGTGATGGTGTTGATTTATATGATGACGTGATAGCAGCTCCTGCTGGTGGTAATGGCGGTGTTTCTGCAGGAAATAGTGGAGATGGTGGAGGTGATACTACTTCACCTAATGAAGAAACAAATGGTAGTGCACCTTACCATCAACTTGGAAATAACATCCAGCCAAATCAAATTGGAAGACGTCATCAATTATACGTTGGAAATTTGACTTGGGTATATAATTAAATATTAATTTATTTTTATTAATATCTATTTTAAAAGAAATAGATATTTTTTTATAATTTAATTATTCTTAATTAAACTTATTATTAAAATATATTCATATTGTAGTGGACAAGTGACCAAGATATAACTGATGCAGTACAAAGTATTGGTGTATCAGATTTTGTTGAAGTAAAATTCTTTGAAAATCGAGCCAATGGACAATCTAAGGGTTTCTGTGTAATATCTTTGGGTTCAGAACAAAGCATGAGAATATGTATGGAAAGATTACCTAAAAAAGAATTACATGGACAGAATCCAGTAGTAACATTTCCCACTAAACAAGCATTAAATCAAGTAAGTATTGGCATTTATTATTTATAAACAATTAGAGAAAAAAATAATTTATGTATCATAAGAGATTTTTTATAACTTTTAATATATATATATATATATATATATATTATTATCATAAATAACATAAGATTGAATATAAAATTTCTTTTCCTTTTTTTTTTAAAAGATGAAGTTGCAAAATGTTCTTTTTTTAGGGAAATGCAAGATTTATAAAAACTAAATATACTATTCATTACTAAAAATTCTATTATAAATATATATTATACTATAATAAAAATTCTATACATTCTATAAATTCAATATTTTGTAATAACAATAATGATAATATAATTATATTGTTATTCTATATTTTTTTTTGTTTTTATTGAATTTATTTAATTAGAAATTAATTTTTTAAATGTAAACAATTTTGCATATATAATAAATTTTTTAAAATAAACATATAATAATTAGATCATCAAGAAATTAATATTGTTATTTAAATAACTTTTCTCAATCAGAGCATAGTTTCACTTAAACTGGATATATTTATAATATTGACTGTTTAAAAATTTTTAAAAATATGTATTTTCTTTTTAAATTTTTTTATTTCTTTCTTTGCTTTAATAATTTATTGCATTTTTGTAGAAGCAATATGAATTTCTTGACAGATTAGTAATTTTCTTTTTTCCTAATATTAATAAACGAATATAGATTTGATGTTCTGTTATATTTAAAAATTTTGTATATTGTTCTCAGTTTGAGTCTCAGTGTAAGACACGTCCAGCTCCGGCTCCTCAACAAAGTCAGAGTCAACGCCCCCATAATCCACATCAACATCAGCCACCAATGCCACCTCATCAGCAGCATCCACAACATCCTCAACATCCTCAACATTCGCAACAAAATCATGGTCCTAGAATGATGATGGGTCCTCCACAGGGTGTGAGACCACAAAGAATGCCACCTCCAGGCATGGGTCCACCAGGTCCAGGTGGACCTGGTCAACAAGGTCCACCTCGTATGCATGGTCCACCAATGGGTCCAGGACCTGGACCACATCATCCTTTACCTGGACATCCTAATCAAGGTCCACCACCTCCTGGTTATCAGCAAGGACCATGGAATGGACCAAGACCTAATGGTCCACCTGGACCACCAAGAGGTCCAAATGGACCTGGCGGTCCACCTCAGCAAGGACCTCCAGGACCAGGTCCTGGTCAACATCGACCTCCTGGAATGGTATGTAATATAAATTACTTTTTTTTTATATATAAATTCATATTGTTTATTTTTTTTACTAATCAATTCCTTATATTTAAATTTTTATTTATTTCAAAATGATTTTTTAATATAAAATTTAATTTATCAAAATCTTAAAAAAATTGGAAAGTTTCTATAAATTATATTTAAAATACAATTATTTAATATATTGACTAAGATATATAAAATTAAAAATCAATATATTAAATAATTATATCAAATAATTAATAAATAAAATTTATTGCAGTATTTGTATTTTATAGAATTTTATGTTTTAATTATGTAAAGATTTTCTTATTAGTATTATTAGTAATTTATATAAAAAATATATATTTATAATATATAATTATCTAATTAAGAAAAAAATTATTAAAATTTTGAAATATTAATTTAAAATATTTAAAAATTGGGGTTTTAAAAAATTTTATAATATGTATATGTATATGTAGAAATGAGAGAGAGAGAGAGAGAGAGAGAGAGAGAGAGAGAGAGAGAGAGAGAGAGAGAGAGAGAGAGAGAGAGAGAGAGAGAGAGAGAGAGAGAGAGAGAGAGAGAGAGAGAGAGAGAGAGAGAGAGA